GTCAAGAGAAGCCCATTGAGGCTGGTGGCATGTTGGGGACCAGGATGGGCAGAGAAAATGAGGGAGTGCAAACCTCATCCGTGGCATAGAGCAGCAGAGTGGGAATTGCTGCAGGGTTTGGAAGGAGAGATGCTCTGCTCTGAGTCAAGGTGAGACCAGCAGCCATGACTGAGGACTCCCTTTTGTGATGTTCCACTTCTCCATTGGGATCCATGGCAACTGGGCACTCTAAGGAAGCTGCTTGGTTCTGCTTACAGGGACTTTCTCCTGCCTGCAGATTACTGCATGCATCATACCCCCTTGCAGGCCCTTATTGCCTCCCTAGCCCATCCCCTCCTCTTCACTACACCAGTGCAAGTGCTGCCTGCTGATAGCACCCAAACGGATGTTGCCTCCCACCAGATAAAATGGACAGAGGGGTTCCTGGGTCTCCTCATCCAGAAATATAGAGGAACCCTTCCTTTTCTGGAAGTTTCTGGATGCCAAAGCACCTGATCATACCAGGATTATGCTGATTGATTCTTTGCAGGTTTGCACTGAGTTTAAAAGGATTTACTCATTGCATTGCCAGTCACGCCACCATCCATCCGGTTCCTGGACTGAAAGCCCACAGTGAACGAGGAGCTGAAGGTCTCTGACAGTGAGTATGGGGGTAGAATTTAGGAATGGACTTTGTCAGAGCTGATGCTCTGAGTGGGAAATCACTGAAACTCTTTCAAATAAAGAAGAAATAGGGACACTCAAAAGCTGTCCTTCTTGATGGGGGTGAGAAACGGGGGACATGTTGGTCTGACTACAGGGTCAAAGCTCCCTTTCCACACTGGCAGCTGTGGCTAGAGGAAGGTGCAGGTAGAAGATCAAAGCTCCTGTGGTGTAGGAGCTTAGGCACAGCCAACTCTCTCCTTCCTCCATGGGAAGAATCAGTCACATTTGCCTTTTCAAATGAAGCTGCAATGTGAGGATTCATTGGTGGTGCTCTCCAGACTTAGTTGTTCTTGTAAGAAGACATCCAGGTGATGGTTGGAGGTGCAACTTCAACACAGGATTCTCACAACAATGTTTGAGCTGCACATGGAGAGTCAGAAGATGTGCTTCTGCTTCCAGCCTGGATTACGTGCACAGTAAAAGGGTAGAGAGGTATGGAAACGCTAACCACATCTAACACAAGAGTAACAGAGCTACTTAGCTGCTGCAGATGTTCCTGAGGTTAACATGGATGAGCCAACTAACACATCAAAAGCAAGAACATGAAAATGAATCGAGACACAGATGTAAGCAAATCAAAGGTGGGGTTTTCACTATGAATATGCACATCCATGAGGGATATCAGCCAAACTAAGTGGTGTCTAGGCACGGAGATATTGATATAAGGAATATTTGGCTTCTATTGCAGCCACCAAACCCATCCTGTTTCACCTGCTCCTGTTCCTTTGCAATAGGGCAATCTGGGTATCTGAGAAGATCGGATACCACCAAGTGCAGGATCCATAGAATAGTTAGGGTTGGAAAGGACCTTAAGACTAACCAGTTCCAACCCCCTGCCATCATTATAGAGGATGGGGGAAACACTGGGGACACACAGAGGGGTCAACCCAGACCCTAGTCTTGGAAAAAACCTCTTAAATATATCATCACACAATTAGCAATGTGCAGGGGCTATCAAAGAGATGGGGCTGAACAGCAAGAACTCACTGACAGATGGGTGTTATTCCCACCTGTGACAAGCTGGCAAAATCTTAGGATAAAAGTGGTACCTGTCACATAGCTCAGTGTTACTAACGCTTTTGGCACCGTATCGGATGACAGTCTCATCAGCACAACTAAACACACTGTCTAGCTGAAATCATGAGCAAATAACTGTCAACAGTTTGCTGTCAAGCTGGAATGATCTATGAAACAAGGTCTTCTGTGGCTTGGCACGGCTCTGGTACGATGCAATGTTTTAATTACCAGCTTGAGTGATGGATTAGAGAATAAGTTCATGGAGCTTGAGGGTGACAAAGGGAGAGAATCTGAAAAGAGGAGAGTTCTGGGTGATGCAGGTACATGGAAGCGATGGTTTGAGGAGGATGTAGTTCAGGAAGGGCAAACACAGATCGCTACCACTAGCATGCATGGGCACAAATGCAGGAGGAGGATATCCCCCTTGCAGCAAGCTGTCAGAAAAAGGAGCTGCAGTTTTAACTGGTCACAGGTTTAACATGTCAAACTGGGAAAAAAACTAGGAAAAAGAAGGTAGAATTCCTTTTTGGAGTACTACAATCCATTGGAAAGCCTTACATATTAAACTAGGAGGTGTAAACTTGTGTGTGATGGGGTGAGATCTTCCCAGTCTCTTCTCCACACAGCATCCAAGGGTTCACACAGCATCCAAGGAGCTTTTAGATAGGATCAGAAAGACTTCCTAGCGTCTAATATATGGTAAAGAGATGGAGAACTGCCTCGAGCATCAGCAGCTTCAGCATCATTACCAAGATGCATCAAAGCATGAGAGAAAAACACTGTCCTCAGCATCTCACTGATGTCTCCACTGTGGGTTGAGAATGAATTCAGTTGCCTCTCCTGGTTTTCTCAGCCTCCTTTCTCTCATTCCCATGTACCTGTTGTTGGTGCTGGCTCCCTTCACTAGAGTAGAACTGGGATGTTCAGGCTTGACTTCTTATCACAGGATCATGGAATTGGGTTGGAAGAGACCTTAAAGCTCACCCAGTTCCAACCCCCTGCCACTGGCAGGGACACCTTCCACTAGAGCAGCTTGCTCCAAGCCCCTGTGTCTTGAACACTGCCAGGGATGGGGCAGCCACAGCTTCTCTGGGCACCCTGTGCCAGCGCCTCAGCACCCTCACAGGGAAGAGCTTCTGCCTAAGAGCTCATCTCAGTCTCCCCTTTGGCAGGTTAAAGCCATTCCCCTTGGCCTGTCCCTACAGGCCCTCGTAAAAAGTCACTTCCTGATGGCTTGGATGGTACAAGATCAAATGTCCCCACAAAACACAACTATTTCTGACAAGGAGCTGAGTAGCTGATGGTAAAGGATATCATATCCATTCCTGGGACTCACTGAGGAATGGGTTTTAAAAGGACATGGAGAAGAAGGTCTCAGAAGAGCAGCTGATTTCAGATGTCTTTGACATTACGTTCATGATGTTGATAGGACATGGCAATAGCTCAGACACCTCTGCTGAACTGCACTTGTTTTGGATGCTGCTGCCCTCAAAGCATCTTCAGCTTCTGAGAACAGATCAACCTCTGAGGACGTGGCTGGGTAGGAATATTGTTAGCTCATAGACAAAGACTCTATCTATGGGCCTGCGGCATTATTTTGCAGGTGAAGCACTAATAACAGCTCATGTCATGGTGATGGAAAAAATTCACTGACCTCTTTCTATCTACATTCTCAGCATTGCTCATGGGGTGGAGCTGTACTAGTGTCCTGGTTTAGCCCTAACCAGCAACCAACCTTAACCAACACAGTCTCTTGCTCAGTCCCCCATGGTGGGACTTTGGGCTCCATTTGTTATGGTGGTCACTTAGCACAGGAGAGGTGATGTGTTGTGTGGAGTTACTGGGCACCAATGCCAGCTCATCTGCTGCACTTGTGCTGTTCCATGTAGGATTTATCCTCCACTGCTTCAGGTGGTTCCTGCTGTAGTAATTCCTGTAACATGCAACTCGAGTCCCAGGTTATACAATTTTAAGGTATTTCCATGACAATCTCCACCCATGGTCCCTTAGGATCAGACCATTGGGTCTAACACTGCAATGAACTCCTCCTCTTGCCCCTGCTCTGGTTTGGACTTATCCACGGACTGCAGTCTCTTAGGGTTGTACCTGCTCTATGTGAAGCTTTATCTATGAGCCAAGGTCTCTTCAGGGCTATTCCTGCTGTGGTGTAGACTTCTCCATAGCCACAGTCTCTTTGAGGTGTACATGTTCCAGTGTGGCCTTATCCATGGGCCACAGTCCCTTCAGAAGTTAACTTGTTCCAACTTGGCCTTATGCACAATCACTGATGCATCAAGGTGTACCTATTGCAGCATGGACTTATCCACAACCATAGATGCTTTGAGGTGTAGCTTCTCCAGCATGGACTTATCCTTGGACCACAATCCCTTCAAAGGTACATAGAATCATAGAAAGATTTGGGTTGGAAAGGACCTGAAGATCTTTCAGTTCCAACGCCCCTGCCATGGGCAGGGACACCTCACACTAGACCATGTCACCCAAGGCTCTGCCCAACCAGGCCTTGAACACTGCCAGGGATGGAGCATTCACAGCTTCCTTGGGCAACCCATTCCAGTGCCTCAGCACCCTCACAGTAAAGAACTTCTTCCTTATACCCAATCTAAACTACCCCTGTTTCAGTTTGAACCCATCACCCCTTGTCCTATCACTACAGTCCCTAATGAAGAGTCCTTCCCCAGCATCCTTACATCTGTTGCAGCATAGATACAACCACAGTCTCTTTGGGGTGTCCTGCTCTTGCATGGACTCATCCACAGGACACATTCCCTTCGATCAATGGAGTTCCACCCTGTCCAGTACAGCAGCACAGAAGCAGCAGCGATGGCCTGGCCATCTCCCAGCCCAGGCACATGGCCATTGCCCTAATCACAATGTTCCCAGGCACTGCAGAGTAACATGATAAAGCAGTACAATGGTACAGCAAACAGTTAAAATGAAAAGCAGCCACTAACAAACACTAGATTCTAATATCCAGCAAGACAAGCAAGCCCCATGTCAAGCAGAGAAGCCTGGAAATTAATAGCTAAATAGCAATAACAGCTATAAATTCAAACCAGCACATTCCAATCAAATCTGTCACTATCTCAAACCCTTCAAGCCTCACACTGGGTACCAAAAAGGACTGTCATAGTTTAACCGTGCCCCAAGTGGGATGGGGGAGAGAATCGGAGGAGTAATTGTGGGTTGAGATAAAGACAGATTAATAAGTAAAGCAAAAGCTGCACAGACAAGCAAAGCAAACCAAGGAATTCATTCACCTCTTCCCCTCATCAGGCAGGGGCTCAGCCATCTCCAGGCAGGCTCCATCACGTGTAATGGTGACTTGGGAAGACAAGCACCATCACCCCGAATGTCCCCTCCTTCCTTCTTCTTCCCTGAGCTTTATATGCTGAGCATGATGTCATAAAGCATGGAACATCCCTTGGGTCAGCTGGGGTCAGCTGTCCTGGCTGTATCCCCTCCTGACTCCTGTATCCACAACCCATTCGCTACTGGGGTGGCGTGAGGAGCAGAAAAGGCCTTGACTCTGTGTAAGCTCTGCTCAGTGACAATGAAAACGTCCCTGTGTTATCACCACTGTTGCCAGCACAAATCCCAAACAACCCCACGCAAGCTGCTATGAAGACAACAACTATCCCAGCTAAAACCAGCACAATAAGGTAAATGAGTGAGAGAAGAAGCTCAGAGTTCCAATGGGGAAGCTTCTATGTAGGCTAAAATGAGGTCCTCAGTTTCTCATTGATGTCTCCACTAGGGCTTGGAGAATAAACTCAGTTCTCTCCTGATCATCTCCTGTGCTTCATTCCTATGTACCTTACATACCTATGAACCCCTGCTGATTCCCTTCATTGGAGCACAACTGTGGTGTCCAGGCTTGACTTTGCCACATCATAAAATCCCAGCATGGTTTGCATTGGAAGGGGCCTTAAAGCTCATTCAGTTCCAACCCTTGCGATGGGCAGCGACACCTTCCACTAGGCTGGGCTGTTCAAAGTCAAATATATTGCAATGTCTTGAAGCAAAGGTGACCCAAAGATGCTTTTCCATTGACATCATGTAGGTGATGCGCGGATTGACTCCACAACTCGTTAAAGTTGTAAAGTAGGTATGCTTTTTATTCAGCGCTGAGACGCACAGGGATAATTCCTCAAAGTCATGCGTATCTCAGTGTTGTTTCCCTCTACATTTATTCTCTAAAGTTATATATATTCATAAGGTTGCACAACACGCCTATACATATTCATGTCCTATCCCCGCTTCGTATTTTAATGAACCAGAAGGTTCTCTGCACCTGCGCATCGCCCCCTCTGGTCATGGGCAGGGGACTCAAGATGAAGTAACTGAGTCTTCCTCCTGTGGGTAGAGGTCTTCAAGATGAAGTAAATGAGTCTTCCTCTTCTTGCACTTTCCACCTTTCAGTCTTCACATATGGCCTTAGGGTTTGGTCGGTATCCCAGCCATAAACCATCTGCTTCTCCCCCTTATCAGTAGATTCAGGTGTCTGCTTTTCCTTATCAATAGGATCAAGTGCCTGCATTTCCTTATCAATAGCTGCTTATCAATAGGACCAAGTGTCTGCTTTTCCTTATCAATAGGACCAGGTGCCTTTGTTCTGCTTAGCAGGCATTTACAACAGACAATACTTTTGTTTAAGCAAGCAAATTTCTCTAACCCCCTTGTACAACCCCCCTGTACATTGGTCAACTCTCTGCATCATAGGAACCTTACTCCAGAGGTTGTTCAACCTCCAGAACACCTCAAGCCAACAGTAAAAGCAATAGTAGTGCTGAGGCAGAGAGTGCAATATGAGTGATAAATGGTTTTCTCCCTTTCCAGCTTATTTCTTACCCAGGGAAGTCCCCAGGCACCACACAAAGGGGTGACAGGGGTTGGATCTTCCTTAGCCCACAAAGGCCAGTAACAGGCACTGGCTCTATGCCCAGTGCTCAGGATAGCTCATCTGGAACCTTCCTCCAGCTCCAGGGCCTGCTCCACCATTAGATATTAATCAGCAATTAGATAACGTGCAGACACTGCTCCTGGGAAGTACAAACTCCCTTCTGCAGCCTGCAGGAAATGAGTGCAATAAAACTGACTGCCGTATCTTCCGGGAGCAGAAAGCAATTTGATCATACCAAATCTCAAACAAAGTTCATTTTACACTCATCCTTACAGGCTTAATTTGACCCCTGTTCTCACAAGCACCAACATGATGATCATGATCGGGCCAGTATCACTTCTATGCCACAGGTAGCCAGGATGAGAAGCTAAGCGGTTCTCATCAGGAGGTGCTTGGCAGAGCACAACAAACTTGTTTTGGGCTTGTCTTCCACAGCTTTTACAGAAAGGATGCTGTTTTGGCTCTCTTTCCCTTTAATTTTGCTCCTCTTCGGGGAAATTCCTGACTCTCCCAGCTCTTTAGTTTCCTTTCTCCACGATTTTTATGGCTTTCACCCTGTTCTTTGTGCTCTGAAGACTCTTATCTAAGGTCAGTTTGTTCCTCCTTTTTATTTGAATGAAGTCAGATGGAGGGTGCTCTACAGCATCCAACAGATGCCTTTCCTTTTAACCCTTGCTCTGCTGGTTCTTCCACATGCTTTAATATACTTGCACGTTCCCACTCCTATGTCTTCCATGCCAAACTTAACATTTGTACTACAAATACCTTGCCTGCAGCTTCCCTGGAGCCTGGTGAGCTCCTTGTTTACAGAGAGGCACATATACTGATGGAAGGGATGGGAAAAGGCCTGAAAAGCCTCTCCCCCCCCCAAAACAACCTAGTGGTCACTGCTGTGAGAGAGATGCCCCCAGGCACAGGAACCTTTGCAGGTCAATGCAAAATGATTTTGATGGGTCAAAAGAGGCCAGGACAGGAATCAGGGCTACAACATGGGTCCAAAGTTCACCCAGGAGATGGAGATGGGACTGGAGACAGGTATACCCACTGTATAGTTCAAAGGCCATCAGCTGAGAGGATGGCAGACAAGGTCACAACCAGAGTCCGGTGGCTATCACAAGGCCAGAAACAGAGCCTGAAGACAAGCTACCTGCAGCACAGGTCCAAGGTTCATCCAGGAGGTGGCTGGAGATGGGCACGTTTATAGCATAGTCCTGGCAAGGACAAAAGGCTCAGAGCTGAGCTTAAATGGGGCTCCTGGACCCATGGGCATAATCTGAAGGGAGATCCCTGGTGAGTTTGGTCAGGGCATTTAAGGTCTATGGATCCACATGAGCCCATTCATAGAGGAGCCAGTTTATATGCTATTATCTCTTATAATCTTATAATGCTGGATCACACTCAGTGACCTTTCAATCCAGATCTTCCAGCACACTTCCAGAAGCCTGGAGAGATCACAGAAGCAACCAGAGTTTAACCTTTTGCCTAATGACCCCTCCTTAAAGCTTCACAATCATTTTCCTGTTGAAAGCCTGGAATAAACAAGTAGGACGGGATGAGTCATGCAGAGGAGGTGTGAGAATATGGATGTCTTGGGTATCGACTGAGCATGCACCAGCCAGTGAACTGCCATCACCTTAACAGCTCTTGGGAGAGAAGGAAAACGAAAGCATTCATGTCAAACAGAAATGAAAGTACATAAATCTGAGAGCCTGATTGTGACTGGAGGTTGTGCTTTAAGTGGGCAGATGAAAGCCCTGTTCCAGTAAAGGGTGCAGCCCAAAGGTGCACTTGGTAACATGCCCACTTTTTCAGGAACCCATGAAAAAACCTGTGTCTGGAGCATCCTTGGGTGATCCAAGATTGCTCCTGAAGCTCTTCTGGGCAACTCTGATCCAGAGCAATGAGAGGAGGCTTCAGGAGGAGAAACATCCAGGGGTGGGATGGCATATTGTCAGCCCTCTCATTCAGGCAGATGGAGCAGGACAGTATGAGCAGGAGGCTCAGGGTGCATCACAACTCCAGCACTCTTTGCTGTGTAGAAGGCTATGCCACACCTGGGGTAGTGAGGGCCTTCAGGCCATGAGTACGTTGCAGCAGACTGCTCTGCTCATAGGAGACTGAGAGGAAACACACCTCACAGCAGGGACGGAGATCTTGGGATCCTGCTCTTTCAGGCTGAAGAAGACCATGTCCTCCTGCTCCTCTGCTCTGCAGAAACAACACCCCACATTTCACAGTGAGACAGCTTTGGGAGGTGGGACAGGACTCTTCCATAGAGCAGTCTCCGTCTTCTCCAGCAGAAGCAGAGTCTGAATGATTCTCATCTCCAGAGAACGATGTAACCATTGAAAATGACTGAATCTGTCCCCTCCCCATGACATCTCTGCACAGCTGTGTCAGCAGGTTTGCTCCACAAACCAGCTCTGCTCCACTAACTGGGGAAACACCTCATTTGCAAATTCAGCTGGGGTCTTGGTGCCCCATAGAGACCCACGTGCACAGCCCTGGCTGGATCAGGAAGTCTCACCCAAGCCCTGAAACAGAAACGTGGTGGTAGAGGAAACTGCGTGGCACCTGGCTGCACTGAATCATGAATGGTTTGGGTTAGAAAGGACCTGAAGATCATCCAGTTCCAACCCCCCTGCCATGGGCAGGGACACCTCACACTAGACCATGGCACCCAAGGCTCTGTCCAAGCTGGCCTTGAGCACTGACAGGGATGGAGCATTCACAATTTCCCTGGGCAACCCCTTCCAGTGCCTCACCACCCTCACAGTAAAGAACTTCTTCCTTATCTCCAACCTGAACTTCCCCTGTTTCAGTCTGAACCCATCACCCCTTGTCCTATCACTGAAGTCCCTGACGAAGAGTCCCTCTCCACATCCTTGTAGCCCCCTTCAGACCCTGGAAGCTGCTCTGAGGTCTCCACGCAGCTTCTCTTCTCCAGGCTGCACAGCCCCAGTGTTCTCAGCCTGGCTCCATACAGCAGGTGCTCCAGCCCTTGCTCATCCTCATGGCCTCCTCTGGACTTGCTCCAACAGCTCCATGTCCTTCTGATGTTGAGGATACCAGAACTGCACCCAGTGCTGCAAGTAGGGTCTCACCAGAGCAGAGTAGAGGGGCAGAGTCACCTCCTTCGAAGCTGACCAAGCCTTTAGTGGGCCCATGTTTCAAGCTCAAACTCAGCACTGAAGCTTTGCAGGCCTAGTAAGCCTAATTTTAATTGCTGTACCCCTCTGCTACCCTTCTTACTTGATCCACGAATGGAGCTGCCATATTCTTCATCTCCTGATTTTAGAACAAGCCATTTCACCTCATCATGCAAGAAAACCTTGCATGATTCACTCTAGCACCAATCTGCTTTATGATCCAGCTGTTTCCTTATCCCTTTTTCCCTTAAGCATGTTTATGTGCCTGTGTCCACCTCTCCCCAGCACAGCCCACATTCCTATTGCTGGACTCTACCCCTGCTGCCTCCCCTTTCTTGTGAAGAGACCTTTTTTTGCTTTGCATTCACACTATGAAGCCAATGGCTCAATGAAGCCCTCCAGCAAAGTGCAAGAAGAAAGGCTGGAGCATTCAGTGCAGTGATTTGCTGTGTGATGGTCTAGAATAGAACAGAAAGACATCAGAGGCAGGGGGTTGAGCTTTGTACCATAGCCTTGGTAAGGAGGTGGGAGATGCATGCTTAGACCAGCAAGCTTTCAAAGGGCTTCCTTTACCTGGAGCATCTTCTACCATAGTCCAGTT